TCAGTAATGAATGGTCCTCTAGAATGCAAGCCTCATGAGGGCAAGGACCTTGTCTCTCTTTATTGCTATATTCCAGTCCTTAAAACAGTACCTGGCATATAATATGTGCTCAATAAATATTTGCTAAATACAAATAATCCCAAATGCACATACCACTGCTCTGAAATAAATATAAAATACACAGCACTATCAGATAATAAAGGACCTCACTGAAGTATCCAGCAACTAAAAGGCCTGATAAACAAAAAATCCATTCCTAAAATTGCATCATACACTTAAAATTGCTATCTAAAGCACTGAAACTTTGACCTACTCCGTCAAAAACAAATTCATCTGCAAAAAAATGCAAGCCTTTTGGCAAACCTATTTTAATTAAAGTAAAATATAAACTCGTACAAGACACAGAAGCTAGATATGGTGAAATGAGTTTTCAATGTTGATAGTCTTTGCTTAAGGCATCAACTAGCATTGAAAGTGTGCTTGAACCCTGCAAGAATGAAGAGATTTATACAGCTGGTTTGGTTTAAAGACAAACGCACACAAATCTCCACTCGCATCACATCTTTACACTTACTAGGCTGACGCTTCAAAGAGATCTAATTTTACTGGTACACATGTTGTATTGAGATTCAACATAACCGTGCTTAGAGGTACTCAGCAGCTGCTTGGCATTACTGAAAAGTAAAACCAATAGGAAAAAACAACAGATGCAAACAATTCGTAATACTCTAAACTATAAGGCCTAGAGTTTCTAGACATCTAAAAGAATTTAAGAATCTGTAATATCCTCAGAAGTTACTTTTAATTCATTTTGCTTAACAGATAAATACATATCAATGCACACACCATTTTTGGAGAACAGCATTATATAACAGGCAAGGTATTAACAGCTATATTAAAGAATTACTCCAATTTAACTAAAGTATACCTTTCAAAGATATTTGAACAAAAATCCTGACACTTAAAGGTCTAGTTAACTTTAAAGTATGTGTAAACAGTAATTTAAAGTGCTAGCAGATAGTGTGATAGTTTAAGGAACGTCCAGTACTAAGCCATTCACTCGGTGGCTACACTGGATTACACCAACTAGCTTATGTTTATATTACATTATTAGCAACTGGGTGTCACCACAAACCAACACAGAAACCACAATCTCATCATTTTTTTCTACTTTTTAAAATCATGACTTTGGAAGATCAGGTAAAAAAAAAAACTATTCCACACAAGAATACCATAAAATGAGTATCTTCCTTATGTTACGAATTAAGAACCGTAAGCTTTTTCACATATTTAAAGAATGAACTTGACAGAAAGGCTGCTTTTCCCACCGCTGTACTAATCATATGAAACATTTGCAACCCACATCTAACTCTGACATCAGCACCTGGCGCCGATTCTCCTTTACAAATGCTTACTCCCTAAGCTGCAATCCACTCCTAAGTCTCCAGCAACGAAACCTCTTCGGAGGGCTTTCAAAACTGTGACAAATCACCCTCCAGGCTGACCCAAAGCAACTGCGCTGGAAAAGCAAAGAGCAGTTTAGAGAAACCCGTTTAAATGGATTAACTCAACACCTTTAAAACGGTGAACCCTTCCTCAGAACCCTTCCCCGCCAGAGCGAGGAGAAACTCTGCCGGACCTGTTGCTTTGTCCCCTCCGAAGCCCCCACAAGGTGCTTGGGGCGCGCGAAAACGCCCCTCCCCACCGGAAGCCCCGTGCCAGGTGAGGTTTTCTCGCCTCGCCGGCCGACTGGAATGCTGCAGCGCCCCATAGCCTCTTGCCCTGCCTCCGGGGCTCTGGCCGGCCCAGCCCGAGACAGACCCCGGGACGCCGGACTCACCTGATCACAGGGCTGTAGGGGCTCCGGGAGCGGCGCCAGCTGCTGCTGCTGTACGGGCTGGGGGACACGTCGCCGCCCCGCTCGTAGGAGCTGTGGCGGCTGTAGCTGGGGGAGCGGCGGCGGCTGTAGGGGCTCGGGGAGCGGGCCAGACGCCGCGAGTAGGGGCTGCTGCCGCCTCCCGCCGGGCTGGGGGACTTGCGGCTCCGCAGGCTCTGCGAGGCCCTGTGAGACACCGGGCTGTCGTCCCGGCCTCCCAGCGGGCTCAGGGACCGCTGCCGCCGCCTGTAGGCCTTGGGCTCGGTCTTGTCCTCCCGGTAGGCCTTGGGCGGCTCCTTGTAGGCCGACGGCGGCTCCTTGGACGACTTAGTCCGGCTCCGGTGGGCCTTCGGGTCTCGGTCCTTGCGGCTGCTACTGCTGCTGGACGTGGCCGAGGCGCTTTTCCGGCGGCCGCCGCTGCTGCTGCTGCTGCCGCTTTTGGCGGCCTCCACCCGCTCCTCGCCGCCGTGCCCGTGGCGGCTGCGGGACTTGGAGGCCTCGCCGCCGCCGCCGCCGCCGCGCTGCCCGTCCCGCCGCCGGTGCTCGCGGTGGCGGTCCTTGCTGCGGCCGCTGCTGCTGCGGCGGTCCCGGCGGGGCCTGCGCTCCGACCCCTCCCCGCGCCGCTGGGTGCCGGAGGAGGAGGCCGGACTCCCGCCGCTGCCCCCCGTTCCCCCGGCAGCCGTCGCCGCCGTTGCCGCGCTGACCCCCCCCAGCAGCAGCCCCTGCTCGGACTGGGAGCTTACATCCTCGTACTCCACCAGCGGGGTCACACCCCCGCCGCTACTAGCACCGCCACCGCCGTCCTGCTGCGGCTGGGGCAGCGAGAAGACCCGACGCTTCTCCGCCTCCTGCCCGGCGCGGGGCCCGCGGCGCCGCTTCTGCCGCCCTCCTGCGCGCCTCTTGCCTCTCGCCAGCCGCTTGACCTCCAGAGGGGGGCCCGGGCTGAAGCAAGAGGAGGAGGCCGCGGCGGCGGCGGCTGCGGCGGCGGCCGTGCCGGGAGCAGCCAGGAAGAGCAGAGGCGGCGGGGGCGGCGGCGGTTGCAGGAGCTGCGGCTGCAGGAGCGGCAACAGCAGCGGCGGCTGCTGAGGGGACAGGAATCGCCTCCGCTTGCGGCGTTCCTCCAACTTCTTCTCCGCCCAGCTCAAGCCCCCGCCTCCCCCCAGCGCCGTGTCCGAGCTGCTCGGCATCGCCTAGAGCCCGCCGCAGAGCGCGGCGCGGGTGCGGCCTCCTCCCGGGTCAGATCCTGGCCATCTCCCCCGCCGGAAACGGGAACGGCGGCGGCGGTGGCGGAGGGACACCGAGCACCAGGGCCGGCCGGGAGACGCGCCACGATAATCCGGGTCGGGACTCGGGTCCCTGGGTTCCAGATCACAGTGGGGTACGCAGCGGCCTCCGGGCCCGAGGGAAGCAGGGAATCCGGGCGGAGGAGCTCCCGATCGTGCTCGTCTTCCTAGCCTCGGCAGCAAAAACACCAGATGCGCCGGGCGCTGACCTGCGGGGGAGTCCGGAGTCCTCCAAGTGCCCCCGGGGGTGGGGGAGAGCGACCTCGGCCGCGCTCTCGGCTCGGGCAGCGCAACGCGGAAGTACCACCTTCGTCTCCGCTTCACTCCATCGGGCCCTGACGTTGGGTGCGAGTTCAGGGGAGGGGAGTGGGCGAGACAACAACACGCCTCCGCCGCCTCCTTCTCCTCGTCGACGTTGTCCTCCTGTGGTGGCGGCGACACACGGCGGGCGCCTCAGAAGTGGCCTGGGCCTGACAACAACTCCCGGCCTAAGGCCTCGCGCACTCTGCGGCCCGCAGGGACGGGCGGCGGGGCGGGGCGAGGCGGGGGCGACCGGGCTGCGGCTCACGGTTGGGGCAGCGAGTGTGCGGGGCTGGGCGGGGGGCTGTTTCCGGGGAGATGGGGGCGGGGGGGGCGTTTCTGAGTCTGTGGGGGTGGGTATGGGCCCTGACTTTCTTCTTCCTTCGGCGCGGCGAGCAGAGGTGGCGGTGCTGCCCCTTTCCTCCGCTCCCCCCCCGCCTCCACGAGGAGGCTCCTGGTGTGCGCGGCTGGCCCGGCTCGCTCCTCCCCTTCCCTCTCCGCTCCTCGTCAGGAGGAGGGAGGGAGATGGGACTTGCTGGTTGGGCCCTAACCTCCACAACCCCTCCTTCTAGCCTCCCTCTTTCGGCCTTTCCCCTCTTCGGCCCTGACGCAAGGCCGGGGGCGCGCACGCACGTCGCGCTCCGAGAAAGCCCAAGGTGAGTGGTGTCAGGGGCAAAGGAGGCGGGAACAAAGTTGCCGCGCACGGGCGTGCTCGCTCCCGCCAAGCGACGGGCGTCTGGCCCGGAAGTGAGGGAACGTAGAGACGGCTCCACTTCCGATGGGGGTGGGACTCTGTGAAGAAGAGTTAAAGAAAGGAGAGGGTTCGTGCGCCGCCCACTGCTGTCGCTGGAGAGTCTCGGGGTGACGGAGCGCCGGTCGTGCCTGTTGCTTGCGTCCAGCGCGCAGCACCGGCTCTGGATCTTCGCAGGCGCCGCACGGCGAGAGCAAGAATCTGGAGACTCAGGAATAATGCCATTAATGGCCTTCTGGGCTGGATAATCACCCCGTCGTCTCCTCTCAGCCAAGCCCGGACGGAGGTTGGAACAGCTGCGAAAGAGGGAGAGGGCACCCTGCAAAAGAGGGCGGAGATGGCGTTAGCTTAAACTATCTCTTGTACACCCAAGTTCCAGGCCCCATCTTGACCTAAAAACACAGTTGGAAATCCCAGTCTGGCGCTTCCATTAACACTGAAGTTTAAAAAAAAAAAGTTAATACGAGGAATAATGAAACGTCGAAAGGAACTCCGGGAAACCCCAAAATTTTTACCGGCGGCCTTGAAGTCAAAACATCTCGCTCAAATGAGAGCTGCCCTCTTGGCACTTCACCCTCTTTCACCTTAACTATCCAAACCTGTGGGGCTGCAAAGCGTAACCATTCGGTGACCTCACGTCTCATTTCTTGCATTACCAGGTTAGCCTTAACTTAAATGGCTTATTGGTTTGGGTTTGTTTTTTTTTTAATTTTAATTGTATTATAGTTGACTTACAATGTTGTGTTTCAGGTGTACGCGAAGTGAATCAGTTATACATACGCATATACCCACTCTTTTTTAGATTCCTTTCCCATATAGGCCATTACAGAGTATTGAGTAGAGTTCCCTGTGCTACACAGCAGGTCCTTATTAGTGGCTTGTGGGAGTTTAATATTGGTTGCAAAGAGAAGCTGAGCAGTGCATTCAATGGCTACATGTAGTCACCCGTTTTCAAGTTTATTTGTTCAGTGCATCGGTTGGTTCTTAGTTCTTAAATACTTGGTACCCATCCATCATTCATGCCTTAATAATTTTAATACACTAACACTGTATCTCAGTCTGGACTCACCTAAGCAGAAATCAGGCTTCACTGAAAGAGTACAAAGGGTGTTTGCTGAAGAATAAAGGAGGAGGCAAAGGAGTAGGTAATCTTGAAGGCAGTTCATTTCCCAGGAGGATAGGCCCCGGGTGGGCCACACAGTGGGACCTACCACGCAGCCAGAAGGATGTGGTAAATGCACTGGGAAACTGAATAGAAAAGTAAGGGACAAGGTGCCTAAAAACGTTTCTCCTTGGCAGTATTGCTGCCTGAAGTTCCTACAACCTAAACCAGTTAGCGAGAGGCTTTTTCCAAAAAATTACGATCAACCTGCCCCATCATCCTACTTTGAAAAGCCTGGAGTAACAGAACAAGGAGAGCAAAATGGATTTATCTAGCAGTTCGTCACATACGACCAACTCCAGGTAAGAATATCATCTTCTGTCCTATACTTGCAAAGAAAACATGTTCCAAAGTAAATGGGTAGCTTCCAGTCCAGGTTGCAAACAGAAAACATATACTAAAATATTTTTAGTGGGGTTCTGCCACCCCATATGTTTCTGCAAAGAGTCTGGGGGGGTGAGATGGGGAAAAGGGGCAGAAGCGAAGCATTCTGAACTCCCCAAAGATACCTGCCCCCCATGCATTGAAATACTAATGATTAACAGGGTTCAAACTCCAAAAAATGAGAAAGACCTTTAAATTAGAAGCCATCTGTTTCTATAAGCTTGTCTACTTATCTTCGTGTAAAGAGACTTGAAGTTGCCACTTGGGACTGTGTTTTAGTATTTTACTGTTTGTGTGTTATGACATACTGTCTACTGGTTTAAGAGAGAGAGAAGGAGGTGGTAAGTTTTTTGCTTTCTTTGTTTATCTAATGGGTCATAACATACCTAATCAGCTGTTCTTAAAGTGTGGCCTGAGACTAACGCTTTTTCAATGAATCATGCAATCAAAGCTATTTTCATAGTAAGACATGATTTGTCTTTATCATTCTTATTTTTTCACAAATGCACTATGGAGTTTTCCAGAGGCAACATGACATGTGATGACATCATTGTTCTGATGGCTAATGGAATGTGTGCTTGTGTGTTCATATGTTTTCTAGAATGTTCTAAGGTATTAAGTTTCTGAAATGTGTAAACATTTGGAATATCTGCCTAAGTCAGTGACCCGATACTTTCCAACTGACTAATGGATGATGTTACAAAATCATGAGTAAAAGATTCATTCAAAGTGCAGGACAGACTGATGTGTTTTAATGTAACCATACAAAAAGTTCATAGATCTGTTCTCAGATTCCACTTTATAACTAACCTTTTAAGAAGCTACTGTGGGGACTTTCCTGGTGGTGCAGTGGTTAAGAATCCGCCTGCCAATGCAGGGGACACGGGTTCGAGCCCTGCTCCGGGAAGATCCCGCATGCCGCGGAGCAACTAAGCCCGTGTGCCACAACTACTGAAGCCCGTGCTCCTTAGCGAGAAGCCACCACAATGAGAAGCTGGCGCATCACAGTGAAGAGGAGCCCCACGCCGCAGCTAGACAAAGCCCGCACGCAGCAACGAAGACCCAATGCAGCCAAAAATAAATTAATTAATTAATTAAGAAACTACTGTGGAGTTTTGGTGTAGTATCAAAGAATAACCACAGTTGTCTGGAAAAGCTATTAAAATACTCCCTCGCTTTTCCAACAACATGTCTTTTTCATACATTTCCACCAAAATAACATATTGCAACAAATTGCATTAAAAGGCTGATACGAGAATCAGTTTCAGTCCTACTAAACCAGTCGAAAGGAGATCTATAGAAAGGTAAAAACATTAATCCTCTAATATTTTTGTTTTGTAAAGATAGTTTCTTGCATATAAATGTGTTAGTTGTGTTACTATATGATGAAGTTATTGTTATTTTGAATGACTTTTTTTTTCTTTTTGGTGCCATGCTGCACAGCTTGCAGGATCCTAGCTCGCAGACCAGGGATCGAACCCAGGCCCTCAGCAGTGAAAGTGCAGAGTCCTAACCACTGGACCGCCAGGGAATTCCCTAAATGAATATTTTTAAATTGTCTCCATTTTTATTTCTAATATCAACAGATATAACTCATATAAACAAAAACTCTTTTATGGTCCTCAGAAATTTTTTTAAGTGTAAAAGGATCTTCAGACCAAAACCTTTGAGAAATGCCATACAAAATCATTAAAATTCCACTGCTTCTGTTCATGCTTCTAGTGGTACAGACAGTTCACAGATAGGTCATGCACTACCATTCCAGAATCTTCCTTATAACTAGGAGTTTCTGTAGTGTCTTTCAACATTGCTTCTCCTTTAGAGAAATTGGTTGTTTGAGTTTTTATTAGGTTTTCTCAGTCTTGAAAAAGTTTAAGCTCTCCTTACTTCAGCCCACTATTCTTTATCATAAGGAAGAATATCAAGCATGTTATTGTTAAAAGAGAGAAAAGCAAAGCCAAAACAATGGAACTTTTCAATTTAATTATAAAAACAAGTAGTGGCCAGTATTTATGTGCACTTACTATGTGTCAGACTCTGTGCTAAGTGCTTTATATTTATCTTCTCATTTAATCCTCTCAACAGTGCCTAAAAATAGGGTGACCATAGTCCTCAGTTTGCCTGCGGTGTTCCTGGTTTATGCCATTTGTTCAAGTATAATTATTAATAATATCCCCCTGCCAGCACATAAGTTTCCCAGTTTGGACATAAATTATCTGATCACCCTCCCTGTAAAAATTACTATCCACAGTTTACAAATTAGGAAACTGAGGCACAGAGAGATTGAGTGTCTTGCCCAAAGTACACTGCTAGTAAATGTGGGTGTGGGATCCTAACCCAGGTCTGTCTAGCTCTGTAGTTCAGGCTTTTAAAGAATTACAAACTGTTTCACAGTGATATCAATGCTCCTGAGATTTATGTTGACCCCAACTATAGTAATATATTCCAGAATAAAAGAAAGTAGAACACAGAAATTTAAGGTAAAATTTTAAATTCAGTTTCAGTTGTAAAACACTGATGTGATAGATGTGCTGTTCCGACACTCATCTTTTACACAGTTCAGAGGCGCACACTTGCTATCAACAGTTTGCAGAAAACCAATGCTGCTTCTGTGTTGGGGCTTGCGGGGGAGTGCAGTTCTTGCTGGTTCAGTAAAGCTGAAGGATGCCTATTTATAAAACAGGAAAGGTGGACCAAACTGTTAGAGGCCTTCCTAATAGGGATTCTCCCTGATTATAAGTAACCATGCAAGTTTCATTGGGTGTATAAATGTGCCTAGCTTAAAACTACATCTCCCAGCAGTCTCTGCAGATGAAGGACCTGACCATGCTATGCAGTCCTGGCCAACGAAATGTAAGTAGAAGTTGTTGGATGAGGCTTCTGGGAATGCTTTCTTAAAATGGAAGGCCAATTTAGCTGACCTTGCCTTTTACTTTTCTTTACATCTGGAACTCAAATGCAGTACTGGAGTTTGAGCAGCCATCTTGTGACTACAAAGGAACAAGCACATGTTAAGGATGGCTAGGTGAAGGGAAGAGAGAAGGACCTGGCTCTCTGAGGACATTGTGGATCTACCAAATCAACCCTGGACTGAAAAAGACATGAAACTGGTAATATGTTTAAGCCACTGTTTATTTCCATTTTTATTATAGATAAACTAAATTCCTAACTATTGCAGTGTGACCCCATGCTCCCATCCCACTTCAGTGGTGGGTATCATTAATGAGAGCATTCTTTCCTGCTCATCCTAAATATAGCCTCAGAATCTGTCTCAACATAAGTGTCTAAAACCCACACTGCAGCAGATCAGCCACATTGTCCAGCGGCTCAGGCTTGAGAAGGACATGGTTCAGGTATGGTGCTGCAACTGTCACCAGAAGGGCAAACGATCACGCAAGTGAATATTCGCACTGAGAGGATTTTGAGGCTATTGGGCAGTCTCCTTTCTCAGGGGAATCAGTACCCTCTCCTCTGGCCCCAGGGCCCTATTTTGTCACCCCAGGCTGTAGTGACGCTTACTTCACTACGCTGTACTCCTCAGTCTCTTTCCATGAGAGTGAAGCCTTTCCCTCTGTGTCTGTCACCACTCTGGGCTTTCCCATGCCTTCAAACCGAGGAATGGAGGCCAAAGGAAAGGGAAGAGCTAGGGGTTTCTATCAGGGCTTTGGGGACTAAGTTCTTTATTCACTAAGAAAAGAATTGGCAGCTGAGAAGGTGTGGGGACAGGGAGTTTGGAGGAGGTGGTTGGAGGGAAGGTGAAGTTCAGGGTTGCTCCTGATTATAATCCCCATGTCATTCATCACTTTGTTCTTAAATAAAGAAGCCTGGGACATAGACACACAGAGCAATATATTCCAGAATAAAAGAAAATATGACACAAAATTTGCAATGAAAACTTAAGATCAATTTCACTAGTAAAACTGAAGCGATGTGTCACTCCCATGCTCATTTTTCACACAGTTTCAGAAGCCTACTACCTCTGAGTCAGAAATGACACCAGTAATGAAATTATTTTTCAGGCTTGTCCTGGAGCAATTTTTGTCATTATTTGGGGAATTGCTTGGTCCAAAAACTCAGGGTTCACACCCTGGCACAAAACTACGTGTCTTAGTTATGTTATATTGTTATGCCTTGTTATAGAGACAAATCAATACATTGAATTATGTCAGGAATTACAGGGTATGTAATTTATTGGAATCAATATTGTGTTAATGTCTAATCTCATAAGAATATTTATGTACTCTTAGGAGATAGTTATTCAGGAATATTTGGAAGTTCGACTGCAGATTACACACCATTGTAAAGCAATTATACTCCAATAAAGGTGTTAAAAACAAACAAAAAAGAAATAGACCTAAAAATGCTGAAATGATAGAATTAGTGCACCAAGACTTTAAAAACAATTATTTAAAAAAGTTTAAGGACTTAAAGGCAAGTGTGAAAATACTTAGGAAAGAAATGGATATAAGATAGAAATAAATAAAAAACTTTTCAAGCTGAAAAAAAAAGAATACTTTAAATTTCTAATTACATCAACTAACAGATTTGATGGAGAAGGGATAAACAAGCAAACAATTCATTTATGTTGTGTTAAAAGTTCTCATTAATAAGGTCATTATAGCCTTAAAATACACTATTGGAGATATAGGTCAAAGGAAATAATTTCTACCAGAACTTTTTAACTGACAATGTGAATCTTATTTTGTGTTCAGAGCATTGCAATAAAATTATTAGAATCAGCATTTAATAATTGATTCACCCTTATATTTATGGTCAGATGATTTTTAACAAGGGTGCCAAGACAATTTGATGGGGAAGAATTGTCTATTCAGCAGATGGTTATGGTGAAGGAGATTGTTGTTGATAGGTGTAAACAACAACTGCTCAGGCCCCTCCTCATTTCCATTTTCCCCATTATCACAATATAAATAATAGCAAAGAAAAAAAAATGGTGCTAGGCCAACTCGACAGCCACATGCAAAAGAGTGAAGTTGGACCCCAACCTCATACAATATACAAAAATTAGCTCAAAATGGATCAGAGGCCTAATATAAGAGCTAAAACTATAAAACTCTGAGAAGTTAAATATAGGAATAAATATTTGCAACCTTGGGTTACACAAAACCTTCTCAGATGAGACACCAAAAGCACAAATGACAAAAGGAAAAATGATAAATTAGACTTACCAAAACTAAAAAGCTTGTGCTGCTTCAAATGACACCATCAAGAAAATGAAAAAGACAGTGCATAAATCTTTACAAATTATGTGGTAAGGGATTTGCACATAGAATATATAAAGAACTCCCACAACTCCACAATGGAAGGATAAATAACCCAATTTTAAAATGGTTAAAAGATCTGAATAGACATTTCTCCAAAGAAGGCATACAAATGGCCAGAAAGGAAAGATGCTCAGTATTATTAGCCATTAGGGAAATTCAGATAAAAACCACAATGAGATACCACTTTACACACCAGGATGGCTATAGTCAATAGACAGGTTTTGTCAGAGATGCAGAGAAAATGGAACCCTCATACCTCGCTGGTGGGAATGTAAACGTGATACAACCACTTTGGAAAACAGTTTGGCGGTTCCTCAAAATGTTAGACGCGGAATTACACTATGACCCAGCAAATTCAATCCTAGCTATGTACCCTCAAGATATGTAACCATATCTCCCATGAAAAAACTTGTACACAAATGTTAACAGCATAATTCATAATAGCCCAAAAGTGGAAACAACCCAAATGTCCATTAGCAGATGAATGGATAAACAAAATGTGACACATCCTTACAATATAGTATTTTTTTTCAGCAATAAAAAGGAATGAATTTCTGATACGTGCTATTGCATGGAGGACCTTTGAAAATATTATGCTAAGGGAAATAAGCCTTAGTTTCTGTCTTTTAATCATCCCCTAAGGTACAAAGTATACAGTATTATTCCCATTTAATAGTTGAGGAAAGTAAAGCTCAAGGAGATTGAGTTGTCTACAGCCACATAAACAATAATGTGAAACTTGAATTTTCAACCCCAAAACATACCCTAAACACAAATAAAAACACTTTTTAAAAAGTGTTTCTTGATCTATATCCACACAATCCCTTCCTTTTCCTTTATCATGTCCTTAGTGATCACATAAATGCTATCCATCTTTCCTTTTCCCTTTCTGTATTGGTGCCTGGCCTTCTTCCCAGTGTCCTGGGCATAGCTAAAAATTTCCAATGGAAATCAAGGGGTTTTAGAGCTGGAAAGAATCTTTAAATTTTAAGTTCACCCCCCCCAAGTCACTTTATTGATGGAAACTGAGATTTACACAAATCAAATGTCCTGTCTAAGGTCCCAAAGCTATTTTGTAGAAGAAGCCTTGTTTATTTTGTCTCCCATCCAGTACTCTTTACATTTGACTCATGGTTTTCAAACTCGCTGGTGGTACTCAAAGACATTCCAAGGGGTACATAGGCTGGGAAAGTTTTGAGGAAATCCATTTTCGAATGATCAACTTCCATACTTCTAAAATTGATCTGCCTGAGAATGTTCTTGTGGTCAAGGTATCTTGCTGGTTCTCTCTCCCACTTTATAAAACAAAGACAGAACTCTCATTCTCTAATCTTAATGGCACATTGCCCAAAAGTGTAAGAACAAAGACAGACCAAGGCACAACTGAAACATTGTGTCTGGGAAAGACTTGTTTAATCAAGACAACCTGTCTCATTGTAGCAATAAGTAATATTCCTCTCTGAACACATAGAATAGCTTTAATTTTTTTTTTTTTTTTTGCCGGGCACCATGTGGCTGGTGGGATCTCAGTTCCTCCACCAGGTATCGAATCCCAGGCCACAGCAGTGGAACCCCAAAATCCTAACTACTAGGCCACCAGGGAACTCCTTTAACTTTACTAATATTTAAAAATGATTAATCAAAACAAATATATTTGCTGTTTTAATCAATTGTATATTACTGATAATTGAAATTATGACTCAATCTAGAAGAAAAATTTTAACACTCATCAGTTTTCACTTACATACTTTTTTTTCTTATGGCAGGATGTATAATAAGGTGATCAGTAAAAGACTTTAAAGCAAAAAAAGTATGTTAGTATATTACATTAGGATAAAATTATGTGAGAGAAGTGGAAAAGAGAACAATGTAAAATTCTGGCTGTTGAAGGTTAGGTATAGTTTTTCCAAAAGAATGATAGTCGGTATCAAACAGCCATCGTTTGAGTCTTTTGGATACACACAGGAGTGATATAAGAATCCTAAATGTCAACATAAAAAGGTGCAAAGGTATATATAGGCTTTTCAAATCATTTTAGGAATTATAAGCAAAAAAACCTGAAGGCCACTGTCATAGGTAATCCTTTGTAAAATATTGATGACTCATCATAAGTCCATTGCCATTATAGAAAAAAATTCTCAACAAACCTGTCTGCTAATTTTTAACTCAATATTATCATTTCCACACATAGAGGAAAGCACATTATCATTGTTCTTAAAAAATATATATTTTTAAAGGCATGAAATAGAGATTTTTGTTCCCACTCCTAAACTTTGCAACCTTTTATTTTCTTGCACAATTTCTCCAGGCACCCAGGCACCAGGCTCATGTATACTGAGGCTTCTGCTTAAAACTCTACAGTTGCTCCCAACTGCTTCTAGGAGAAAGTGCTAACACCAGCAGGGGGCTCACATCACTCTGCATGATCCGAGTCCCACTCATGGCTCCAGACTGCCCTTTCTCTGCTCAAACTCTGCACTTCAGTCATCTGGAACTTCTTTTTAGTTCTTTGAAGGTCCTGTTCGTCTCTCAACGCTGGGCCTTCACACGGGCTGCTCCCTCTGTGTGGAATACTCAACCCACCTCCTACCTCCCAACTAGGTGTAATTTTTACATATTCGAATGTCAGATTTAGGTACCACTTGAAGCTTTCTCCGACCACCCCCACCACTACCATCACTAAGGTTGGATTAAATGTTCCTCTTTTGTGTTCCTGATGAATAATGTCCTTCCCCATCAAGGATGTACTGCAGTCTTCTCTTTCCTTGTCTGTTTCCTCCAATAGACTGTAGGTTGCAACACGACAGAAACAGTGTCTACTCACCATC